CACAGGATTGCGGCACCAAAATGAAAAGACTCTGCAACAACGAAGCAAAGGAGTCTTGCGTCTTACTTCAAGAAAGTTCGAACCGATGAAGTGGACGGAGAAGAACCGCCTCCTTCGAAGGATAAAACTTCGCCCTCCTCAGCACTGGTGGAAAGCCAAGCGCGTCCGAACTTCTGTAGCGACTCAGGAGAATGCACCAGTTTATATGAATCACCTGAGAACGAACACAAGCAGGACACCCATGCGCCGCCGTGAAATGATGGTGGCCGCAGTGCAACTCCAAGTGATCTTTGTTCTACAGTCAACGCTGGGCAAAGTGACGCCTTTACCACTGGGCAATGCCCAAGGAAGGTGAGTGGCATGGCACCTACACATTCTGGTTCGCCTCCCCTCTGTGCAACGAGTGCGAATATTTTCGACTTGGGACTGTTTGTCTCGAAAAGCAATAATGTAAATGATCCAGAGACGATGGAGAAGTGGCTGCTCAATCCGTGGACCCCTTTGGCTAACTATGATTATCCAGCCACAGGGAAAAGGAATCTGAAGTTCCAACCTCACTGGGTAGATCGTTACCCATGGCTTGTTTATTCAAAGAAGCTTCAAGGAGCATTATGCAAATATTGCGTAGTCTTCGCAAGCGAGTGTGCAGGAAAAGGGGAGTACCAGCGCTTGGGCTGTTTTGTAACTAAGGAGTTCACCAATTACAAGAAAGCCATGGATGCCTTTAAGAGCCACGCATCCAGCAGTTATCACGCCATGTCAACAACGCTATCGGAGAACTTTTTAGCAGTCTGGTCCCGCTCACAGCATGACATCTTAACACAACTTGACCACAGCCTTAAAAAGCAGGCAGAAGAAAACCGCAAGAACTTGCTGCCAATAATAGAAACAATCCTTTTCTGTGGCAGGCAAGAAGTACCGCTTCGCGGCACAGACGACTCTGGTCCGATAAATATGTCTGAAGTGCTGCCATTCAAAAATGATGGAAATTTCCGCGCACTGCTTAGGATGAGAGCAAAATGTGGAGATGCCGCCTTGAGAGCTCACATGGAAACATCTCCGGCAAATGCGCTGTACACGAGCTCAAAAATTCAAAATGAGTTGATCACCCTCTGTGGTAAAATCATACAAAGAAAGATAGTGGAAAACGTCAACTCAGGTTCGTGTTTTTCAGTTCTAGCTGACGAGGCCACTGATATATCTCGCACCGCCCACATTTCCCTATGTGTAAGGTACGTTGGACACGACACGTCGGGAGTGCCCATTCTTAAAGAAGATTTTGTAGATTTCGTTCCCGTGTACGATCTCACTGGCAAGGCGCTGGCGAGCACAATCCTGAACAGCCTTAGAGGTCATGGCTTTGACCTGAACCTACTTTGCGGGCAAGGATACGACGGTGCGGCATCAATGAGCGGCCACCTTAACGGTGTTCAAGCCTTCATTCGTCAAACAGCGCCCAAAGCGTTGTACGTGCATTGTAGCGCCCACTTGTTGAACCTTGCTCTGCTTCACGCATGCAAACTCCCCAGCATCCGCAACTGTTTGGGAACTGCTGTATCCTCAACCTGTACGTTTGCGAGAGCTTCGCCACAGAGGACGAACCAACTGCGAGACAAAGTAGAAGATTTAACACAAGAAAAATGAAAATCAGTTCTCTCCTTTTGCCAAACAAGGTGGGTAGAGAGTCACGATGCACTTCAGCGTTTCCTTGAACTGTACGTGCCTATTGTACAATGCCTCGAATATTTGGAAGAAGAGGCCGCGTCATCTGATACTTCATCAAAAGCTTCTCAACTGCTCAATGCCATTACGAAGCCTGAGTTTGTCGTTTCGCTTCAGATCTGTGGCGACCTCTTCTCTTTGACACTGCCACTTTGCAAGTTTCTTCAAAAAATTGACTGTGACTTGGCTCAAGCGGGCGATCACGTAAAGAATGTTATAGACGTTCTTTCCACAAAAAGGGCTAGTGCGGAAACGGAATTTAATAAGATTTTTCTGAAGTCGCTCTCTTTGCTGAAGATCACAAATGTTGAGATGACCCTACCACGCATCACTGGAAGGCAGATGCAAAGAAGCAACGTATCTTCTGCTACTCCCGAAGAGTACTACCGGAGGAATGTGTATTTGCCTTTGCTGGCTGACTTCGAAAATCAATTAAGAGACCGGTTCGATGCCCATAAGAAGGTCGTGGTTGGCCTTAACATGCTGCTGCCGAAATTCTGCGCATCGGCTAGCCTTTCTGATATTGATGATGCAGTGCAGTTTTACCTTGGCGACATGCCTTCGGCTAATGTCATCGAAGCAGAGTTAACACTGTGGGTGAACAAATGCTGCCAGATCGAAGAAAAAAATCGCCCAGCTTGTGCTTTACAGGCCTTAGAGATGTGCAACCGCGACTTTTTTCCGAGCATCCACAGCGTACTTTCTATCCTGGTGACTTTACCCGTGTCCATGTCGACCCCGGAACGGACTTTTTCCACACTGAGAAGGCTGAAGAGCTACCTTCGAAATCATACGAACAACAACAGATTGACCGGACTAGCACTGCTCAGCATCCATCGAGAACTTCAAGTGACCCCAGAACAACTCCTCACAGAATTTTGCAAGTTGCCGAGAAGGAAAAACTTCCTCGTTTAAACTTCCCTCTATGTTTCAAGAGTCGATTAAAAGCTAAACCCAGCTAGCCCAAGCTTCAATCCTTCTATCCTTTCGCAATTACGAGGAAACTATCCAGCAAGCAGAATGTGCGAACGGTAACAAGATCGGAATGTCGGGCGACTTGTTTGTTTGCTTGCATACATGCTGTCACGGACTGCCATTTTTGCGACCCGGCGTAACGGCAAATTAACGGGCGCCGCACTCCCCCGCTGACCGGTGGAACCGTTCGCTCATGAAAAGACTGGCCTTTAGTGCAGGGAAGTACTGAATGGGGTGTTCTTCTTCAAACGTTAGTCGCCGATGTTTGATCCTTTGTACCTACGAAGCGTCGGCAGGGTCGTCAAAGGCCGCGATGCACCCCGAACTAGCTGTAGACTGCAAGACACACCGGCTGAAACCAAGGAAACTGACCATTCCCACGGGCAAAACTGCTTGTGGACAAGCCGTATGAGAGAACCCCAACAGGTTGTCACTCTCGCTCAGTTGAGGACCCTCTCCTAATTAAAAAGGGACGTGGTCAATATATTTTTAGGGTGGAGTTTCTAACAATGAAACGTGCATGATCGGACCCATGTAGAGGTCTTTTTTCCCCCAGGACGAGAATCAGGGGACACGGAGGTCGACTTAGGAGCAGGATTTCGCCTTGCTAAGCAGTCTAGTTTATATGTGGGGTTTAACGTCCCAAAACCACTATATGATTATGAGAGACGCCGTAGTGGAGGGCTCCGGAAATTTAGACCACCTGGGGTTCTTTAACGTGCACCCAAATCTGATAAGCAGTCTAGTTGCTGACCAACATGGTGTAGAAGGAGATCAAGAAGTGATCATCAAGAAGGAGATCAGTGTCGGCTGGCCACCTAAACTTAGCCATTCGTCTAGTTGTGACGCGAAATTAACGTCTGTAACGTAGGCATCGGTACTTGAATCTTGAGTAAGCTCAACCTGCCCGAGATCGGCTTCAAGCACTAGCCTCCCGGAAACACCAGTGCTGCAACACCGCCGACATCGCAGTTGTGCCAGAACTCTCTCAGACTTCTTGCATCCGATTGTCGTGGACTCAACGCTGCCGGTCATCACAGGTATCCCTTCACCTGTTTATACCTTCGGACTATCTCATCTGTAGTTTTATTGTTGGTTAGTTTTGTGTAGTTTGTAATACTTCTCTCTTGTAAGCTGATTTATTGATTTTATATGTATTTTGTTAGTTGGTATTAAGTGTTGTACTAGATTCCTCTGCAATATTCCTAGATTCCTCTGCAGTGCTGCAATATCACTAGAGTTTTGTTTTTCCCCACATACGTCTCTGATCTCTTCACTGTCTCTGCTTACGTACGGAACGACCTAACCTGCTGCCATTCCCGTCGCCGACTTCGCGCTGGCGACGCTAGAGTGGCAGCTTGTAACACATACATACCGTTTTTGTACCGCGGTTACATTGTGTTACTTCATCAGGAGCCGCTGGTCGCGGTGTCCCCGGCTTTGGTGGTGCTATTGTCCAAACTTATTTCTTGCTTTAACCAGAATTTGAGGTTGACATACCAATTTCTTTATTTGGGTACAAATAATTGAAAAGTACCATCGAATTATTACAAGTAAGCGATGTACTTGTTTTATTCACGAAAATAAGCCAGTATAAATCTTAAAAATTGGCAGCCGTTCTACACGCAACCCCCCCCCCCCCCCCCCCCAAAAAAAAATTCCTGGGTACGGCCCTGGTGGCACCTACCCGTCGCCTTGCTATCAACACCTCATCGCCTCCGAGACGGACGCGCACGCCGCGCGCTTCGTTTTCCCCAAGATAACTGCCAGATAGCGTTCATGTCTCACGCGGGACGTGCCTCGATGCGCTCGCTCGTTTCCGCTGCACGCATCGAGGCACTCTAACGCAGCGCCTCCAGAATACCATTCACCGATTTTCTCGCGCAGAACATCAAATAAACGTTTTGTTAACTCTCTCCAGGCGCAAGCCTATCGTCTATCGACATTTGCAGTGAAACATGCAGATACGGGGCTTTTTTTTTTTTTTTTGCTTAGTTTATTCTCCCTTCCGTCTGCCATCACTACCCTGCCTCTTAGCACTGGAGTGATATTACCTATGACGTTTAACAAAGTGTTTTATATAAAAAGGGAGCGAAATACACTGGCGATCAAAACGGCATTTCGTGGGCGTTTTTCGCGCCGTTTTTATAGCATTGTCTGCTTCTCACAGATACACGGTGAAAGAATGGTAAAGAAAGCATGCAACACAGCGCTGTTTGCCTTCTGTTCATTCGAAACAGCAGCACTCGTAAGCGAGTGTTTATTTTAGGACGACATACAAGAACGAATACAAGCGTACTTACATTCAATGCGATACTGTCGATTCAAAGCACGCACAGAAACGTTTCAAAGACAGTTCTTTCCTTTTCACAGCTATTTCACCTAATTTGACCGTACAGTCCCTTACAGTGGATATTTAGAGTAAAAGCGGTTTGAGACATCACAGCACGGTCGTGGAAGGCCATCTTAGTCGCGGTGCGCTAGACTGGCTGACAAGCAGGACCACAGAACACCTACCAGTACCAGACCACGACCTTCTATATAAACTTCCGGATGGATGGATGGATATGGCTGTACCATTTAGATCGGGCGGTGGCTAGCGCCGTGAAGCCGTAATACCTAATGAACCAAAAACTATATTTATTTTTTTTTTCCTTAAAAAGTGAGTTTGAGGATTCGTACTTTGCAGTGAAGAGTTTAATTTTCACTCGTGCCTTGACTTTAGGCACCAATCAGATAGCCTCCTTCTAGTTAAGTCTACTTGCTTAAAGTCTATGTTGCCCTCCGTGCCGACCTGCTCTCTGGCGCGCTTTCTTACGGCGGCGCAGCAAAGTACGAATCCTCAACTTCACTATTTAAGGGGGAAAAAATAAATCTAGTTTTTGGTTCATTAAGTATTACGGCCTGGTGGCGCTAACCACGGCCCAATCTAAAGGGTACAGCCATATCTATTAATTCATCTATCTATATGCATAAAAAATTGATTTGTAGGGACCAAAAGTGCCATCAGATGCCGCTAAAACTTAACTTACCCAAGGTAGCTATAATCATAACCTACTGTACTCCTGACCTGTCCAGCTGGTGGCGATCTACGGAGCTGCCTGCGCCGGCTCAGATTTCGAACTTCACCGCCTAGGGGGCGCTCGAGTTACCCCAGCTGAGCGCCGGTGAATGCATGGGAATGCATGGGTTGCCGCCGGTTAGGGAAGAGTTTCATCACACATTGAGTAAATGTGGCAGCTATCTTGAATAATTTTATTTCATGTGACTTTGAGAATCTTCTTTTGCATTTTAGTTGACATTTTATTGCATTATTTTTTAAATAGAATCGCAAATCAGGTACAAACACATGTATCAGCGTGCAAAACAAGAAAGAATGACGACGTAAACAGGTTGTAAAAAGCGCTGGCCACCAAATGTTTATTGAACTCATGATACCAGCTATATGTGTATACAATGGTAGACCTGTTGCCATTGGATTACACTCAGCTGGCCTGCATTTACTGTCTGGGCAAGAAAGGGCAAGGACTATGACACTTGACAGTGTCCGCGGCATCCAGCGTGCATAGAAAACAACCCTAACAGACAATTTTGCGCATAAATACCTCCGTCTGAAATGGCAAATGTAGAGCGCGGGTACATGAATAATCAATGAAAGACACTCTGCAACAGTTTAGAAACAAAACAGCTCTTAAAATCACTTGTTCAATGCTAATTCTTCACACAATGGCTGTGTTTCAAAACCTAGTTGCATAACCACGTGTAGTGACATGACGATAGTTATAGCGCAAGAACAAAACGACGACACAGAGACAAGAAGGACAGGAAGGACACGAGCGCTAACTTCCACTGCTCGTGTCCTTCTTGTATTTGTGTCGTTTCGTTCTCGCGCTATAACTATCGTCATGACATACCAACTAGCCCAAGCTGCCACACTTCTAAGTAGATATATGGTTTCAATATTTGCACTCATGTCATCTTTCCTTTTTTTTTTTTTGCTAATAAACAGTTGTGAGTATAGCGCGTCGTCGTTTACTTTCTTGAGGTTGTTGGTTTATTACTTTTTTGCGCTAATATCCGTTTCAGTCTGTCATGCACCACCAACCAGCCCAGCAACTCACTCTTTTGGAGACACGTACGTACGTAGTCCTTCACAACACAGAAATCACCTTAATCCATTTTTCATGGACCTCGGTCACTAGAAACTCAAAAAAAGTCACATCAGGAGTCTCCTCGATTCGCAGAAAGGCACGTAGCACACCACTATTGTGATGGTTAATTTGCACCAAGAAACCTCGCTTCGCTGGTTACAAACTGCACCAACCTGCACACTTCTGTCGCAGCTCGGCACGAGCAAACGGTAGCGAAAGATCGTCATTAAATCTTTAAGTTTATTCAAAAAAGAGATTTATATTCATTTTAATCGTCCAGAATGTATGCACGCGTACACATTGCTGTTTTTCTCCCAGCGCGACGCGAGCAGACGAAAAAAAAAAAAAAGCGCGGCGACCCTTGTTTTGGCCGCCAGCAACCGGTGCGGATGAGTGGATGTGGCTTTACCCTTTACATTGGGTGGTGGCTAACGCCACCTAGCCGTAATACTTAGTGAACTAACCACTAGATTTATCTTTTTTCCCTTTAAACAGTAACAGTAAAGTTGGACGGGTACTTTGCAGTGAAGGGTTTAATTTTCACTCGTGCCTTGACTTTAGCCACCAATCAGATAACCTCCTTTTAGTTAAGTCTACCCGCTTAAAGTCTATTTTGCCCTCCCTGTTCCTAAACCCCAGTGCTTTGAAAAACTCTGCGCCATCCTCCTTAACTATATGGTGAAGCCCTTTACAGAACATTATCAAGTGTTTGGCAGTTTCTTCTTCCTCTCAACACACACTGCATATTGTGTCTACCCCTTCGTATTTGGCCCGATATGTCTCGGTTCGCAATACTCCCGTCCTGGTCTCAAACATTAGAGAACTACCCCGAGTATTATCATAGATACTTTCCTTGGCAATTTCCTGCTCAAAAGTTTGATACATCTCTAGTGCGGACATCTAAATCATGCCAATTCTCCACATGTCAGTCCCAGCTTCCTTCACCTTCTTCTTAACCAATAATTCTTTTTGGTTTGGTTCCCTGCTGTTTTCTAAGAATTTACCAGTCAATTTTCTGGTTCGCTTCCTCCATTTTGTATCGACATTCTTCATGTACAAGTAGCTGAATACCTTCCTAGCCCAACGCTCCTCCCCCATTTCTCTCAATCGGTCTCAAATTTTATCCTGCTCCTAGCTTCCCTGCCCTCAAATGATGCCCATTCATATCACCTTGTACTCCCTGATTTGGTGTATTCCCGTGAGCTCCTAAAGCAAGCCTACCTATTCCACGTTGCTTAATTTCTAATCTTGCTTGAACTTCTGATCTCTTGCACAAGACCGCATTGCCGAACGTCAGCCCAGGAACCATGACCCCTTTCCATATTCCTCTCACAACATACCTATTGTAATTCCACAGTGCCCTATTTGTCATCACTGCTGCAGTCCTGTTACCTTTAGTCGTCACGTATATTTCGTGTTCCCTTAGGTACTCAGTCCCATCGCTTATCCATACGCCCAGATATTTGTATTTATCTGTTATCTCTAGCGGGACCTGCTGTATTCTAAGATCACTACCTTCGTTATCATTAAAAGTCATGACTGCTGATTTTTCCTTACTGAATCTAAAATCTAACCTATTTCCCTCATTACCGCAGATGTTCATCAATCTCTGCAAATCTTCCTTGTTGTCGGCCATTAGCACTATATCATCTGCGTACATTAATGCTGGTAGTGCCTGATCAATGAGTTTTCCTTGTTTGACTAAAGAGAGGTTGAAGCCAAGTCTACTTCCCTCTAATTTGGCCTCTAATCCTTATAGGTACATCATGAATAACAAGGGTGACAGTAGACACCCCTGCTTAAGTCCCCGTTTCACCTCTGTGGGCTTGGATACCCGTTTTTCCCACTTTATACCTACCTTGTTACTTTTATAGATTTCCTTTAAAAGATTAGTGACTCCATCTTCCACACCCAGTGTGTCTAGTATTCCCCTCAAGTCCTCTTCAACCACGTGGTCATACGCCCCCTTGATATCCAAAAATGCTAGCCACAGGGGTCTGAGTTCCTTTTCTGTTATTTCGATGCACTGCGTCAGTAAGAACAGATTGTCTTCCAACCTCCTGTGTTTCCGAAACCCATTCTGCAGTTCCCCCAGCACCCCCTCATCCTCTATCCAAGCCTGCAGTTTTTCCTTTATAATCTGCATCGCCAGCCTGTAGACCACTGATGTCACTGTTATAGGACCGTAGTTGTTTATGTCAGCTTTGTCCCCCTTTCCTTTATAGATCATGCTCATCCTGCTAAGTTTCCAACCGTCAGGGACTTCACCATCGATTATTGTTCTGCTCACTGCCTCTCTCAAAGTCTGTTTATACTTCGGACCCAATGTCTTTGTCACCATAATTGGAATGCCATCTGGGCCTGTTGATGTACTACTTGGAACCCTCTTCACAGCCCTTTCCCAATCTCGTTGTGAAAATGGAGCCATCGCGCCATTTGATTCATCCCTGTCTATTGTGGTGCATAAGGCACTTCTTTGTTGAAATTTTTCTGTCACCTTTGTTCTTATACATTCAATAGCTTCGTCCCCTTCTAGCGTAGCACCTTGAGCTGTCGTTATAAACCTCTGCTCTAGGTTTGTTTCAGTTCTTAGGGAGTTTAGATGGTTCCAAAATTTCGCAGCTGCCTTTCTGTTCCATTTATGTACTTCTGCCAGCCACTGAGCACTTTTTCTTCTAATCTTTTCATTGATCAGGAGGGATGCTTTCCTTCTAGAGCTTAGAAAGATTTCCCGTTTTGGGAAATCTTTGCGAAAGCGGAGGAGGTAAGTTGCAGCGCCACAGGGCGCATAGCGGCAGGCACCAATACCAGAGAGGGCGTGCTCGTGCTTCGCTCGCTGGGCAGGTCAGTAAAATACTGAAGGTCGTGGTTATAACTTACCCAACAAGGTAGTTATAAAGTGGGAAAAACAGGTATCCAAGCCCACAGAGGTGAAACGGGGACTTAGGCAGGGGTGTCTACTGTCGCCCTTGTTATTCATGACGTACCTACAAGGATTAGAGGCCAAATAAGAGGGAAGTGGACTTGGCTTCAACCTCTCTTTAGTCAAACAAGGAAAACTCATTGATCAGGCACTACCAGCATTAATGTACGCAGATGATATAGTGCTAATGGCCGACAACAAGGAAGATTTGCAGAGATTGATGAACATCTGCGGTAATGAGGGAAATAGGTTAGATTTTAGATTCAGTAAGGAAAAATTAGCAGTCATGATTTTTAATGATAACGAAGGTAGTGAGCTTAGAATACAGGAGGTCCCGCTAGAGATAACAGATAAATACAAATATCTGGGCGTATGGATAAGCAATGGGACCGAGTACCTAAGGGAACACGAAATATACGTGACGACTAAAGGTAACAGGAC